CCAACAGATGATTGCTTGACCTTAATTAACGGATAATGACATGATAATTACACGACCTTTACTAACATATTATGGATTTACCTTTGCTAACAGATGATGACAAGACATTTACTAACAGATGATGACATGACCTTTACTTACAGACAATGACATGACCTTTTAACAGATGACGCGATCTCATTCCTATGTCTAACAGATGATGACGTATGAGATCATATTCCTGTTTCTAACAGATGATGACGTACTTGATCATATTTCTGTTTCTAACAGATGATGACGTATGGGATCACACTTCTATTTCTAACAGATGATGACGTACCGGATCATATTTCTGTTTCTAACAGATGATGACATACGGGATCACATATCTGTTTCTAACAAATGACGACGTATTGGATCACATTTCTGTTTCTAACAGATGATAACGTACGGGATCACATNCTGTTTCTTACAGATGATGACGTACGGGATCAAATTCCTGTTTCTAACAGATGAAAACGAATGGGATCATATTCCTGTTTCTAACAGATGATGACGTACGATATCACATTTCTCTGTCTAACAGATTATGCCGTACGGGATCACATTTCTGTTTCTGACAGATGATGACGTACGGGATCATATTTCTGTTTCTAACAGATGATGACGTACGGGATCATATTTCTGTATCTAACAGATGATGACCTGTGGGATTATATTTCTGTTTCTAACAGATGATGACGTGCGGGATAATATTTCTGTTTCTAACAGATGACGACGTACGGGATCACATTTCTGTTTCTAACAGATGATGATGTATGAGATCATATTCCTGTTTCTAACAGATGATGACGTACTTGATCATATTTCTGTTTCTAACAGATGATGACGTATGGGATCACACTTCTATTTCTAACAGATGATGACGTACCGGATCATATTTCTGTTTCTAACAGATGATGACATACGGGATCACATATCTGTTTCTTACAGATGATGACGTACGGGATCAAATTCCTGTTTCTAACAGATGAAAACGAATGGGATCATATTCCTGTTTCTAACAGATGATGACGTACGATATCACATTTCTCTGTCTAACAGATTATGACGTACGGGATCACATTTAAGTTTCTGACAGATGACGACGTACGGGATCACATATCTGTTTCTAACAAATGACGACGTATTGGATCACATTTCTGTTTCTAACAGATGATGACGTACGGGATCACATTCCTGTTTCTAACAGATGATGACGAACGGGATCATATTCCTGTTTCTAACAGATGATGACGTACGATATCACATTTCCCTGTCTAACAGATGATGACGTACTGGATCACATTTCTGTGTCTAACAGATGATGACGTACGGGATCACATTTCTGTGTCTAACAGATGATGACGTACGGGATAAGATTTCTGTTTCTAACAGATGATGACGTACGGAATCACTTTTCTGTTTCTAACAGATTATGACGTACGGGATCAAATTTCTGTTTCTAACATATTATGACGTACGGGATCACATTTCTGTTTCTAACATATTATGACGTACGATATCACATGTTTCTGTGTCTAACAGATGATGACGTACGGGATCACATTTCTGTTTCTAACAGATGATGACGTACGGGATAAGATTTCTGTTTCTAACAGATGATGACGTACGAAATCACTTTTCTGTTTCTAACATATTATGACGTACGGGATCACATTTCTGTTTCTAACAGATGATGACGTACGGGATAATATTTCTGTTTCTAACAGATGACGACGTACGAAATCACTTTTCTGTTTCTAACATATTATGACGTACGGGATCACATTTCTGTTTCTAACAGATGATGACGTACGGGATAATATTTCTGTTTCTAACAGATGACGACGTACGAAATCACTTTTCTGTTTCTAACATATTATGACGTACGGGATCACATTTCTGTTTCTAACAGATGATGACGTACGGGATAATATTTCTGTTTCTAACAGATGACGACGTACGGGATCACATTTCTGTTTCTAACAGATGATGACGTATGAGATCATATTCCTGTTTCTAACAGATGATGACGTACTTGATCATATTTCTGTTTCTAACAGATGATGACGTATGGGATCACACTTCTATTTCTAACAGATGATGACGTACCGGATCATATTTCTGTTTCTAACAGATGATGACATACGGGATCACATATCTGTTTCTTACAGATGATGACGTACGGGATCAAATTCCTGTTTCTAACAGATGAAAACGAATGGGATCATATTCCTGTTTCTAACAGATGATGACGTACGATATCACATTTCTCTGTCTAACAGATTATGACGTACGGGATCACATTTAAGTTTCTGACAGATGACGACGTACGGGATCACATATCTGTTTCTAACAAATGACGACGTATTGGATCACATTTCTGTTTCTAACAGATGATGACGTACGGGATCACATTCCTGTTTCTAACAGATGATGACGAACGGGATCATATTCCTGTTTCTAACAGATGATGACGTACGATATCACATTTCCCTGTCTAACAGATGATGACGTACTGGATCACATTTCTGTGTCTAACAGATGATGACGTACGGGATCACATTTCTGTGTCTAACAGATGATGACGTACGGGATAAGATTTCTGTTTCTAACAGATGATGACGTACGGAATCACTTTTCTGTTTCTAACAGATTATGACGTACGGGATCAAATTTCTGTTTCTAACATATTATGACGTACGGGATCACATTTCTGTTTCTAACATATTATGACGTACGATATCACATGTTTCTGTGTCTAACAGATGATGACGTACGGGATCACATTTCTGTTTCTAACAGATGATGACGTACGGGATAAGATTTCTGTTTCTAACAGATGATGACGTACGAAATCACTTTTCTGTTTCTAACATATTATGACGTACGGGATCACATTTCTGTTTCTAACAGATGATGACGTACGGGATAATATTTCTGTTTCTAACAGATGACGACGTACGAAATCACTTTTCTGTTTCTAACATATTATGACGTACGGGATCACATTTCTGTTTCTAACAGATGATGACGTACGGGATAATATTTCTGTTTCTAACAGATGACGACGTACGAAATCACTTTTCTGTTTCTAACATATTATGACGTACGGGATCACATTTCTGTTTCTAACAGATGATGACGTACGGGATAATATTTCTGTTTCTAACAGATGACGACGTACGGGATCACATTTCTGTTTCTAACAGATGATGACGTATGAGATCATATTCCTGTTTCTAACAGATGATGACGTACTTGATCATATTTCTGTTTCTAACAGATGATGACGTACGGTATCACACTTCTGTTTCTAACAGATGATGACGTACGGGATCATATTTCTGTTTCTTACAGATGATGACGAACGGGAACATATTTCTATTTCTAACAGATGATGACGTACGGTATCACACTTCTGTTTCTAACAGATGATGACGTACGGGATCAAATTTCTGTTTCTAACAGATGATGACGTACGATATCACATGTTTCTGTGTCTAACAGATGATGACGTACGGGATCATATTCCTGTGTCTAACAGATGACGACGTACGGGATCATATTTCTGTTTCTAACAGATTATGACGTACGGGATCACACTTCTATTTCTTACAAATGTTCTTACAGAACACCAAATTACGGAACGCCAACAGTAGTTAAAGCATAAATGATGCGAGTCGCCATCACGACAAACATAATAGGTAATGTTAAAAACTAAAAAAAAAACCTGAAGGTTAGGATTATTATACCGTGAATGTCTCTATTTTTGTTACTGGCATAACAACAACAACACAGTTCTATTATTCGGAATATCGCGAGGCTGAACAACAATGACTTTTACATGTGTAAATACGTCTAGGTCCTTTCTATATTGTGACTGTTTCTTTAAGCTTGTTAAAATATGTCCGTCTTAGATTTGATGAAACTTATCCTCGTGATATGCCGAACTCAAGAGACCAATAACAATTCCGCAAAATATTATACCATTGATGTAAATGCAAAAACAAAGAGCATTATAAACTAAAATGTAATCGTCCAGTAATGCCCATTTTCTTGAAGCCATGAGTTATGTTCATCTACTAGATGCAAGCCTTAGATAAGACACACATCGTTTGTATAAACCATGTATACGGGTTTCTGTGAGCTTGTTAAACTGTTATACGCCTGTAAGTGTTTGTCAGCCGGTTCACGTACAGCTCCGTTCATTTCTATACAAGTACAAAATACAAGTGAAATACATATACATACGTTAGTGTTTTATTATATAATTTCATATAAAATATAATTGTGTTCCTGTTGTAAGATGATCTAATACAACAGCAAAGGAATGCTGGCAGATTGTATTGATAAGTGAAATGACCAAGATTTAGTTGCCAAGTTTGGAAGATTACTCGTCACAAAAACAAAAACACTCATGAGGTAAAAAGTAACTGCGTTATGAGTACAAACCTTCATGTAGTTTTGGTCTGAATCACAGCAATCTTTGATGCGAAAAGAAATAATAAGTATCTTTCAGCCCTTAAACGAAGACTGATACAACGGGGAATAGAAAGTGTTCTTCCCAAGCTGTTAATACGTGTAATGCAAGCGTCACATAAAGGATGCAGGTGAGCAACCAATCTTCACTAGGAGCAGTGAACATATAGTCATTGGATTGAAATCCTTGATAAGCTTGACAAACTTGAAACAGACAGAATACATTAGCTGCTGTTTATATAAAACCTAGTATACAACTTACTGTCATACGATGCAAGGGTTTTATAGTTTATCCGTAAATGTAATAGTTACAATGACAAAGTGTTAACATAACTTCAGCATAAGATAAAGAACATAATGTAGGTATATTCAGATTCTAAACAGTTCCTTTAGTGCTATTTATTAGAAATGTACTTTTGTCGGAATATTCTTCTCTTTAACCTTGAGCACATGTTATCACGTGTACAAGACAATGCTAGAATACATCAGATTGTTATTTACTGATCAAACCAACGGATCGAGACAAAGATGGGCTCCGCCACTTTGGTCCCTTTAACTTCCTTGTAACGTGTCGCAATTATTCCGGAAACCGAGCGCGCCCTGTGTTTCCCAGGACAGCAACGAACCACATGACGACAGAACAGCACTTTGTGTCGACATTTTGAATTCATCCAAAAATAGATAACTGGATTGACTCCCGAATTGCTGAACGCTAGCCAATGTGCAGTCAGCCACATCACATGTACGTAATTGTAGTCAAAAATGGATTGGTCCACGTCTCCTACGATTGTAATCACGTGTAACGGTAACCATAACACCAGGTAAGCTACCACAACAACAATGATCATTTTAATTGTCTGAAATACAAACAAAAAAATCTAATTTAGTTTACAAAATGCACTTCCAGTTTTGTTAACAGACATTCTATAGCATTAAATATGGTAGGTTTCACTTGCAATAATGTATGCTACACAGTAATACATACTTTTTACAAAAATCATGCCAAACGCTTCTCGAATAATGTATAATTGCTACCATTTACTGAAAACAATTTACTGTATTTAATGTTTTAATTCTTAGAATGGTTGTACATGTAGGAGTTACAATCGAGCTATTTCCGTCTGCGATAAGAGGCTAATGCAGTAACCAGGTTAATTTCAATTTACCTTATTTTTAGACGTAGCGAGGCGTTTGTCTCTCCGTATATTGGCCTCACCCGGAATTCGCTTCACCCAGATGATGACTCCGATGTGGATGTAGGACACTGCCATGATGACCAATGGTATGAAGTACTGGATCAGCATGATGCAGATGCCGTAGATAGTCCGGATGATGTCGTGCGGCCATATCTCAACACAGAGCCCTTTGGACCCAGGCTCATACGGCATATATTCGATGTGTGAATATATAAATGTGGGAAGTGAGATCGCACAGGACAAGATGCATATAAACACTACCAGTAATTTTGCCCTACACTTTGTCAGTAGGTGTGACCTCATAGGTTTTGTGGTAACGTGATACATGTCACATGTCATCGCCATCAGCATAAACGATCTCATTAACACACTTGTCATTTGCAAGATTCCTATGAGGGGGCAAAGAAAGTCCCAGAAAGGCCAGTAATGAAAAAACAGATTACTTAGAAGAGAGAACGGAACACACAGTACAGTCGTAAGTATATCTGTAACTGCAAGGCTAACGATGAAAAAATGGGTTACCGCACGGAAACTGTGCAACCTTACAGTTTTGTAACAAATCATTCCATTTCCTAGTAGCGCAAAGAAACACGTGACACCGTATAATCCCAGTAACAGAAACCGGAATTCATCAGGAATACCGTACGTGACATTGGCTATGGAGGAATTGGAACTTGCATTCATCCTGTTAATATGTTGTGGTAATTCCTCTATTACTTTAGTTATATAAGTAAATATTTGTATAGGGATAATTGTAGCCAGATGCCTATTATCTTATGAATATTTCATGAATATTTCTTTCATAAGATTTAAACAATTTAGTACTTTTCCTTGTTAAATGATTGTTTGACTTTTTCATATAAGAGTACTATCGCCATGGACGACATCAGACAGCCGAAGTCTATCTAGTTGTGCAAATTCTTTATATAGTATTTCAGAAGCCGGCTTTTAATCTGTAAAACAAAACAATCACATATACTTAGAGACTTTTACATTATTATTTCGATGTCACACATTCAAACAGTAAACGATTGCAATACTCTCTAAGATGATAAATGATTTTGTGCAATAAGTTATGCATTTACTGTAGCATAACTTCATTACCGAAATAAGGAAACAGTTGTTGTTGATCAGCAGCATGATAAAAAACGAAGACGTCTCATGAACTGATCATCTAAATGTAAACAATTACTTTCATAAAAAAATAAATATCCACGACTTCGTCACCTATAAAAAGACTGCCTACAGCGTGTTTCCATGTATCTATGACTTCCTCACCTGTAGAAAAACCGCCTACTGCCTGGAACCATGTATCTATGACTTCCTCATCTGTAGAAAAACCGCCTACTGCCTGGATCCATGTATCTATTACTTCCTCACTTGTAGAAAACCCGCCTACTGCTTGTATCCATGTATCTATGACTTCCTCACCTGTAGAAAGACTACCTTCTTCGCGCATCCATGACTTCTTGACTTGAATAAAAATGCCTAACACGAGTGTCCAGGTATTCACGACTGCTTATATAGAAAGACTGCCAGCGCTTTCTCTTGTGTTTGGTGCCCGTAAACAGCCTATTAACGCTTTACAGCTTTTCCATTTCTTCATGTGTTAATGAACAATAGCAAGTTTTCAATCACGTGATGTGAAAACAATATATGAAGGCGATTAACTGACTTCAGAGCTCTGAACTATTGTGATGTATATGTTTATTTGAGATATATAGTTTAAGATTACTAATATTGAATCATATTTTAAACCAAACAGTGGCAAAGCGATTGTTAACCAACTGCTAATGCATGGTTGAATTGTCCCTAGAACTGTGTGATGTAAGTATATATCTACCTCAGTTACAAGTAATTGTCATATTTAAGAATATTCCAAAACGTATCCTTTATTTAGAATTCACATTCTGACAACTTGATGATGCTTGTCTTGAAAGCCTTGAAAAAGAACTAAATATATCAGGTATCCTTTACTATACAATTATATTTGTCGGATTTGTATCTGGACATTCACAACGACTTGACAATATAGGTCACATCACTGCAGGACTTCAAACAAAACTAACAACTTTATCTACGCCATCGTCCGCCTTCAATTTCCCATTAGCAATATACCAGCCCATTGTGTTAACATGTCAGACCTCCTGCAGACTTTGTTATCGGCAATTTCCTGCATTCTGTAGGTCATTAAACTATAAAAACCAGACTTTCCTTGAAGAGAGGAACACTCTAAGCTGAGGAGGTGTTTGTTGCGCCATCAGGACCACCACCAATCAGTCTTCAGTGTCTAATACGGAGAAATACACGTGTGAGTGTACCTTTAACAGTGATAATAGTTTAGAGCCAAAAACTTCGAAGATTACTGTTGACGTGACTTTCCTTGATTTGGCAGGAGTCATCATGCCTTAAGTGACCAAAAGTATTTCTCCATTAGGGGAAGGGTAGGCGAGACGGATACCTCTGAAGTAGAATCTGTTTGGGATAGTAATGTTTCCATTCCGTTTGTGTTGGTGTTTCTGTTCGAATTTTCTCCCAGTTTGTTCACGTTGTGATACGTTGTTGTCGTACTGTGTTGACATTTTACATTTTACCATGGCATAAACTATATCACATATGTATGATTACGTAACAGGTATGCATCACTGACGTCTGTTAACAACATCAGAAACAGATCAAAGCTACCGTGTCCAGGTGACCGGTAATTTAGTGTATACACAGATGCGTCAGGGCGGATCTGACGTCATTTCTCTCCTTAATTGAATTGTTTTCGTTCATAAGTAACATATCAAGAACAATATATGTGACACCTCTCTTTTCAGATCTCATTTACAGCGATGTTATCAGCTATGAATATGATAATTAACACCAGAGATGTAAATCCACTATTCTCACATATGTTTACGCTATTGGAGATCCTGTAAACATGTATATAACCGAGAAAGAAAACAAAAATAATTGAAATCCTATTCAGCACTTGTCTAGTCAACAACTATGACATAACCACTCAATCAGTGAGATCCATATACTGCTGTATGGTCACTGACGTAATGTCCAATATATTTGGCAGAAAAAAGAACATTGGAATATACGTGTACGTGTGTATATACTCTGCATATACTCTGTATATAAAACTGTATATAAAACTGGGCAGAAGTCAGCTTCTCCTTAACAAATTTATTGAGTAAGTGAATTTAAAAGGAAAAGTAAACAGAAGTGTCATAATTACAAGTGTTTAGATGGATTGCCCTGTAACAAAACAGAATCAACCACTAATCCCACTAGTTTGGCAGGTTTTGGGATAGTATTTTTGTATCTACAATTTTTTTATGAACTTGTCCGCCAAAGTTTTCTTTTGTTAGTGTTAAAAATATATCCAAATATGAATAAAATATGTTCAGCCATTAATGAGTTATGGTCATTTAGGTAAAAACGTCTATGACGTCATGGCGGCCATTTTTGTTTTCTTCAAAGAAGTCAAGAACCAAACCAAATTCGAAACACTATATGGGGAAACTTTCAAAATGGCGAACAGTGCAAACGGAAAACGTTATAGAAAACTGAAGACATCAAATTCATCGGAATGACATACTGCATCGATTTCGAAAAGAATTTTCTAGACATATTGAAAAATTAAAAAAAAAAAGATGAAAAATTGGTGACCTTTTACCCAACAGCGAGGATTTGCATTTGTCCTTTTTTTATAATAACATCTAATGAAAAAAGTTAGCCCCGAAGATAATCTACACCATAAGTGAAAATCCCTAATTAACAAAATTACTTCTTTTTAAATTCAGGACAATGTTTGTAAATACTTATTTCGGTCAATGATTCCTCGATTCACTCTATCTAATGATTTTTTTTTTATGAAATAAGAGTACATTACTGCTAATTGTAATATAAATCAGTAACAGTATATCACAATCTAATGGAAATAGAGAAATGTTGATTATAAACACATGGGGAAAACACATACGTACTATCTATCCTGACAACAGAATGAATAAAACCTATACATGGAATAATGTATTCTAGGGCGGTAGGCAAGTCACTTCAGATTTGATTTCCAGCATTTCCTTTGAAAGATGAAATGTTTACACATCCATGTTTGAAGCCAGCTATGTTTTCTTGATTTGATCGTTCCATATGGCATAACGGTATATGATTTGCTCATAAGGAATGTCAATAGTTTGAATTGTTGATTGTATCTATATCTATCGACACATGTACTTTATATTTTACGCTCATACAACTTACTTTGCATGCAATACTTAAATTTTATCATCCTTTATTCTAAGCTAGCTAATGTTCCAGATATATTCTGAATTGGAAAGCATTGCCTTTCTCCCCTTTTCACTCCCCGCTAAATAATAGATTATGTTATAGAATAATTTACATGAGTGAAGATCACGTATAAATAAGGCCTCGATATCATGTTACCTTTCTAACATACTTTATGTGTTGCTGTTGTCGTTGGTTAGCCGCAAACAAACTAGGTAAAAGAATAATTTGATACAATTGGAAAGAGGTCAATATGGCAAAATTACTAAATCGACCAACGGACTTGCGTTGCAAATTAAACTTGCCTTAAGAATGCTACAATGTCATTCACTGCTAATAAAATGTCAAATGTTACATGGCTTTGTATATGTATTGTATGATCCACTCATAAATCCATTACGGAAAGAGAATCTAGTCAGCCTGGCTATCTCCTTGACAATGGTAGAAAGGCCACATCACACCGGTATGGTTCACTTTACACAATCAATGTCAAACTAAAGTGCAGCCACGCTGATTTAAAGCTCTGAGCCTAAATCACAAACAATAAATCAAGACAAATGAGGATTGATAAGATGCTGTGTTAGGTGATCGTGGAACTCGCACTGGACATTAATTACTCAGCAGGCGTGTCCCCTACAACAACGTTCAATGATAACTCAATCCATGTTTAAGAAGATGACGGGCAATTGATTGACGATCATGTACATAGTACACATCTTGACACGCGTACTTTGCGTAAATTGGACATCAGTAGCTCTCATCAAAACTTGTTGGTTCGATATGCTTTTGATAAAAAATACATAATTCAACATCAGATATGAAAGTCAACACAAAATTCATATTTATTTTTGATTTACTGTAATGAATGAAAACTTGTCGACCCCATTATCATTATCGATTAGCAGAAAACC